ACTATATCCGATAAAATTATACATTTTTCAATAAAAAAATTGTGTTAAAATTTACAATAACAATCTTATTTTTTCCTTAAAAAAATTTGAAAATTGTAAATTAACAAAGCGAAAATTTGTAAGGCCGAACAACCCTTAGGGGAAAGATTACCTGGACGACCGCTAAAAAGATAGGCACAAAGATGGCTCTCTTTTCCTGAGGATGATTGGATATTTTATGCTGGTTTAATAGATTTGACAAGTCCTTTATTTTTAGTGATTTTTAATATTAACATAGTTAATTGTGCTCGAAAATGGGTAACCAGACAAATAGCACTATGCCCTAGTCAAAAGTGGAGGAAGACGAAGTAATAATCTTACTTTATTACAGAATAATGTAACATTTCAGTTACAAAATGCTACAAGGACGCGGTCAAAGCTGAGGCGTCAGAGATCGGCTAGCCGAGGGATGTTTACGAGACGCCGCGACGCCTGCGATGCCGGGGCCACCGAGGGACGAGTAAACAAGACAATCACGGGCGTGTTAGCGTCTGCTTGACCACGGTTTATCACCGCTTCCTAAATAATCTGAAATACGGCTATCACCATATCCGTATAACCATTTTATCCCCCTTAATAGATATGACCCTCATCATCCCCTCGACTCGTTGCTTCTTATTTGCCGAGACGTAAATCGCTCCCGCCATTCAACTTCGTTTTTTTCCCTCGTCCTCCTCAAGGAGCTCCTTCGTCGTATCCTCCCCTTTTATTCCTGTGGTCAAGGACCTGCCTCGCCTCGCCTCGTCTTCAAATTGTCTTTTTCCGCCTATTTACCTTAAAAGAGAGACGGGCAAAGTCAGGATTGGATTCTTGGAGTCGTAACCATAGTCGTTCCTGGAACAGGAACTCCTTTACTCAGGAGGTCCCACATGCACTTTAAAAAAAAAAAAAAAAAAAAAAAAAAAAAAAACATACAATTTTTTTTTTACTGAAAATCATTTTCTTCACAGTGAATACATGAAGTTTAGAGTCAAAAGAATACGAACTACGAAAAGTAAAGGTAGGAATTTTATGATCATTTTGTCTTAGTTGACCGGCAAAAATCTATATTCAGTACCAAAAATCCATGGCAAGAATGCAGACAAAACAAACAACGACGGTTGAATCATTTCGATTTTAGCCGCCATTTTGTTGCGTGACGGCAAGAGGGCACGAGATACGACTCCCAAATACTCCCTATGCATATTCGTCTTGTTGTGGCAAGCAGTTGGGCAGAAAAAATTACTAGAATCAAAAAATTACTGAAAATCAAGCTTAGATTTTAATTTTTCACGGTTTCATTTGAAGTGAAATTTCAAGTGAAATTTCAAGTGAAATTTCAAAATCTTATTTTTTCATGAAATTTTCCATCTCAGGTCTTGCTATCCTTGCCTATGTATTGAAAACTGAACACAATTACAAAATATAAAAAATAAGCTTGGAAAATTCCATAATATAACGAGTAGAGGTTGATGATATTTTGCGCTTTAGGGACTCATTAACAGAGGCAAAGGCGGAGCGTGCTTTGCGATGTATCGATAAATCTGCCATTTAAATCTATGGTAAAGGATCGACAAACAGGGTGTTCGCAGCAAACACCTTAATAATCGATTCTTTGCCACAGCTCCAAATAGGGAGATATCGATAATCGATCATATGCGCCCCGCCGCTGTACATTATGATTGTGGCAGGATTATAGAAAGGAACATTTTTGCCAACCTCGAGAAAAATTAGATATCTCCCTTTCTAAGTCTATCTACGCTACCTAGTCTCTAAGATATGGTATTTCCGTCCAATACAGTGGCGCGGCGCAAATGATTGGTTTTCAATCTTACCATTTGAAACTATGGTGAGGAATCGATTAATTATTCAGGTGCTTGTTACGAACACCCTGTTTGTTGATCCTTCTCCATGGTTTAAAAATGGCAGATCAATCGATAGCTCGTAAAGCACGCCACGCCACTGTCCCAATATGGCTAACGGCTCGCCATATGCAATTTGAGAACGTTGGAATATTTCGAAGATGGTGAACAGTGGCGTCGCGTGCTTTGCGATATATCGATTGTTCTGCCATTTAAACTCATGGGAAAGGATCGATGAACAGGGTGTTTGCAGCGAACACCTAAATAATCGATTCTTTACCATAGATTTAAATGGACTTAAATGGCATAACAATCGATACATCGCAATTCACGGCACGCCACTGGGTGAATGAGACAACTTTCATTAAGATGCCGGTGCGGAGTCAACAAAGCATGCCTCGGAAACCCAGCTCAGTCTGCGGTGACGCGGGGACAAAGTCGTGTCTCACATGCTGAGAGGGCAACGCGAATTCCTGGAGCGAGCACAGGAGCAAGAAAAGATAATAATAGATAATATAATAGAAGTGAGGTTCGTTATTTACATTTTGAGAACGTTTTAAAGTGAGCGGCGGAGGCAAGTGCAAATAGAGGCATTGCGCCTAAGATAAAAAGGACTGGAAATTACAGCTTGCGGTTTTATGATTACTCGCGAAGAATGCAAAGAGACCCGGGTGAGAGAGGAGACGCGAGCGGGGGACGAGGCGGGAGAGAGAAAGTGGAAGAATTGCAAACTCCCGGAGCCTTTGTATTGTCTTTTATTCGAAAATTCAATTTTGAAAAGTCGACGGCTCCGACTGTGTGCCGGAGCAGATCTGCAGATAGACACAGCGCAGAGGAGGCATCTTATTAATGAACTCGTCCCGAACCATGATGAAGTCACAATCTGACATTTCCATCCTTTGCAGGGACAGAAGCCGCCGCGCCGCTCGCGTCTCTCCGGCCTTTATCCGTGTCACTCCTTTAAGTCGAATTTTAATTATGATTAAACCGTAACTTTTTCGCTGTTCCTCTCGCCGCCTTGATTTCCGACCCGAAAATCAAGGGGGCTCACGCCGTTGACTCTTCTACTTCTCGCTCCTTATTAATCTCCTCCGAAATCGAGAGACTGTCTTCTGGGGAAGTCATCATGTTGGTTCTTCAACGGGCCATGCGGCCCTTTCTCTCCCCTTCCCCGGAATTTCCAACGCATTCACTAAACTCATCCTTTTAGAACCCATTTTAGGTAGAGTACCTATATAGGGAGAGTTAGGACATGTCGAAAATTTTGAGGTTAGGTGATGGAGCTCTTAGACCCCAAAAGGGTAGGCAATCTATGAATTCAAATTATCCAGAGTGATTTACAATCACAATTGTTGGGAGCTGTCGTTGGCAAAGCACGTATTTGACTTGGTTTTTGCATAAACTTACTCAATTTTGCGGAAGAATGCTTACTTATGAATTTTCTTGTCCATTTTCGTTTGATATTGGAGTCTGAAGATTGACAGTGACATTTTTCGTTTTCAAAGGTTACCTACACTTTTGGGCCCTAAGAGCTACATATTTCGAGTTGTCCATACTCTCCCTATATAGGTACTCTAATTTTAGGTAAGCTTTTCGAGTCCCAGCTGGAGTGCTACCTACCTAAAAGACCAGAGCGGCCTTGGAATGTATACGGCGCAAAATTCGAATTTCGATCAGAATTTCAAAGGCTAGAGTCGGAAACTGCGCATCATCATCGCTTTTTTTAAAATTTTCCATAAATTTTCCTCACGTTTAAAAATACCTCCAAAAAGATTCAAAATTATGATCTATAGTGCTGAGTTAATCAGCAGTGGGTGCAAGATTCCCAAATTACAGTGAAACGGAAGTTCAGTGCGTTTGATGCGTGAAACCTTATGGGAAGGTCGTAACTTTATCCGTAATCATCGACGTAAATGTTTCAATTTTGGCTCTTCAAAAATTAGGTTAAAAACTGAGAAGTTGAAACGTTGCAATGGAGACGCTAAGTTCTTGACTATAGCTATCGATACCTTTATTTCAAAAACGTCTCATTGGACAAGATATATCCTTGATTCCACCTACTTTCTCACTGTTTACGATATAGCAGATTGACCGATGTCCTCATGTGAGTAGTGTACTGCGCAAGAATCTGAAAATGGGAATCCGCGTAAAGAATGTATATACTCATCTGACGCCGGCACCTTTCGCATCTGCTCGAAGATTACTTATCCCGATTAGCATCCCTGACTTCAAAACCTGTGCCCAATCAATCTTCTTCCCCTCTAAGACAACAGTATTGGGCTCCAACGCTGGTTTAATGCATTAAGCTGGATTATCGATTGTGCGGTTCCTTTAGTGTAAGTAAGATTCATCTTCAGGACGCGAGTTATATTAACATAAACATTCTACCTCCTCAATTAAAAATTTTCCAAAAACGAAAAAGACTTCGCCTGTATTTGAATGTTCCTCGATCAAAACGGGTGGTTCTACCTTTCGTTTTGTGATGAGTCAATCCTCAGACAATTAATATTCCTCCAGGAATAACAAGCAACTCGATTTAGTAAAACCAGGATGTCTGCTAAAAAAGGCTGTCAAAAAAACGGTACTTTTACAGCGCTTTTTCAGTACATTCCCAGGAAACTCAGTATATCATAAATCAGACAAAGTCAGTACTTTTCCAGTACCTTCATTTAACGAAATTCTGAGTTTCGAAAATTTGAAATTCTCGCTCGAATTGCGAAAAAAATGAAGTAGCCACAAAATTTCACTGAGGACTTTAGGATTAACTGACTGCACAATCGCGATCTTGCAGGCAAATACTACTCTAAAAATAAGCGAGCAGGGGATTGCATGATTTCCAGACTTTATTAGAAAGCACGCGTGTTCCGTGGTATGAGAGAAAAAGTTCCGGACCTTCTTGCGGAATTTCCGCACGTTCTCAGTAATTTTGAACCGCCCTTAAATAATCAGTGATATTTTTGGACTTTTCGGACTAGTATACACCCTGGAAATAGAAAAAAAACCAAACAGAAACAAATTACTGAAGTGTGACTGTAGCAGTATCGAACCAAATACATGTTTGAATTTAGTACGGTCTCTGTTGAAAATCGAAGATTATTTATAATGTAATCTTTTACTCACCTTACTCATTATATGAGAACCGTCCTTCTTTTTAATCGACAGATCTGCAACAAGAAAAAATATACCACGATATAATTACTTGCGATCCAAAAAAATACATTCCAATCTTACGAGGAGGATACAGGTAAAAGAAAAGGCCACGAGGTATCTTCCCGAGTCTGGAAAGGGCCATTATAAAAAGACAGAAAAAAGGGCCAAGAGTCAACATCTGAAGCTTCCCCCACGGAATGAAGAGCGGATATTTTCTGGTGCGGATACCAGCGACCCGGTCGAGTAAATGTTGGTCAGCCGGTAAATTGAGACAGGAGGTAAACAGGAAATGAGGGTATCCGACACACACACAAAAAAAGGGAATCATATGAGACAAACAGAGGGGAGAAAACGGCGGTGAATTAGGGAGCCGGGGCAAGGGTCGCCGCCGGGAGAGGACCGCCGAGAGGAAAGTCCGGAAAAACTGGACGCCGCGCAAAGATTAGCGAGCTACCCGAATATATTAACCCGGAAAAAACAATTTAATAACTTACGTTCATTACTCGCGGCTCTCAAGGAGGATCGTCATATACAGGGTGTTATTCCGAGAGCCGGTTTCTCATACGATCGGCTATACACCTTGAAATGGACGTACCCGAGTTGGCTCCCAAACGTCCGAATCGGCTCCCGTTTGAAAAAGGGTCCCCTCCCCTAAGGGTCGAGTTGGCTCCCGTTAGAAAAAGGGTCCCCTCCCCTGAGGGTCGAGGTGGCTCCCGTTTGAAATGAGTGGCGTGTGCGACGCGCCGCGCGTAAAGCGGCGGACACTAGGTGCGAAATGCATGAGATAAGTCTGAGAAATTAAGAGTGCTGAGGAGAAATCAGTTATCAGCAGTAACACTCACGCCCAAACAATGATTAGGTATTCGGCACTGGACGTTGTCACTTTGAAAAGCAACTGATTATTTTCAATGGAGAAAAAACTTGGAATTTTTTCGATGGAAAAAAGTATAAAATTAAAAAAAAAAAAAACTTTCCCTTCACACTTAATCCAGGCTTAGGACTGGCCAAAGAGTGTAGCGTACTCAAAGGGCGTGTTTAAAAAGTTTTTTTTTTAAATTTTATTTTGTTTGTTTATATCGTCTCTCTCCGGACAATGGGTATTAAAATGTTAATATTAATTAATAACCTGTTTTTAATCATTTCCATTCCCTACATTTTAATACCCATTGTCCGGAGAGAGACGATATAAACAAACAAAATAAAATTAAAAAAAAAAACTTTTTAAACACGCCCTTTGAGTACGCTACACTCTTTGGCCAGTCCTAAGCCTGGATTAAGTGTGAAGGGAAAGTTTTTTTTTTTTTTAATTTTATACTTTTTTCCATCGAAAAAATTCCAAGTTTTTTCTCCATTGGGGAGGGGACCCTTTTTCTAACGGGAGCCAACTCGACCCTTAGGGGAGGGGACCCCCTTTTTCAAACGGGAGCCAACTCGACCCACCTAAAAATGGACGGGAGCCAACTCGGCAACTTCCCTTGAAATGAGGGGCTCGGAGGACGAGCCGCACAAGTGCAGTTTTTGCTATTTCCAGAACTATGCTTGTTTGAAGTTTCGAAAACGCATGGATCCTTTTGGCGGAAAGTAAGTTCAAACTGACTTTTTGATGCTTAAAAATTGGAATTTGGAAGCAACTTTTTTTTACAGAATATGCATTAAGACTAGTTTTACTCGAAGTCGTTGATATTTCAATCTTTTCAAAAACTGCACCTGTGTACCTTGTCCTTTAAGTTCCTTAAATAAGATCTTTTAGTCGTATAATATGCCACCGAAAAAGTATTCCCACCAGATATTCCATCGAAGCCATCCCGGTTAAATTACCAGAAAAATTGCGCATTTATAGAGATTACATATGTAAACTTTGTCTATATCACCCAATATCCATATATTCCCATATCTATTCAATTATGCACCATGAAGCACCACTAATGATTCCTTTTATGCCACAAGGATCGTTGGATATCTACTGAATTTTTTTTTATTTTAAAAAAAAAATCGAGAATATTAAAATTAATTATTTTTAAAACTATTTATTTATTTTAAAACTACACTCTACCATAGCTATAAAACTATTCGTAAATATTTTTAAAACTCAAAAATGTAAAATTATAAAGCGTTGCGCCACCAGAACACTCTTCATTCCCACAAATCGATAAGAAAAAGTACTCTTGATTCAATCAGAATCCAGCTTAAATCAAGAACCAAGCCTCTTAATTCAAGCGGATTTCGTTTTGATTCAAGCAAAAGTCCGATTGAATCAAGAATATTTTTTCTTGTCAATGTTTTCAAGAGTCTGGACTCTAGATCCAATGTGTTTTTTTCTCCAGTGTGGAGGCCTAAAATACGGTAACCAATCAGAAATGGATTCACATTGTCTTGACTCTCAGTATAAAGGGACTCTAGTAAAACCCATTAAATTTTGAGGGTTCATGCAAAGAAAATCAGGGACACCACCCTGTACAGACGCGTGTTCCAAGACTCATTTCATCCGTTCGTTCCGGGGACAAGAGGGATTGGGCCGGGGAAAAGAACGAAAAAGAGCGCGGGGTTGATACGGAGGATTATCACCCCCGCAAGTTGATCAAACATCCCCCGCCACGCGTTCTCCTCATCTTAATTACCCACTCACGGTTACCTGGGCGCCCGGGCGGGCCCGCGGATCTTAGCGCATTTCGCATGCCTCTTTTTAAGGACGGAGCGTCCGGATGCTTTTATGATTTATCACCGGGGCGCGCGTCGAGCGTGTTCCGTCTTTTTTACGACCGCTCGGGGAGAGATAAATCCGCGGCCGGCAATACCAACGCACGATTATCAAAAAACAATCGCGGGGAAACCGCGGTGTGAGTAATGGCCGACGAGTGATTAATCTGTGCGGTTTTTGTCGCCGCTCCGACTCAACAGCTGAAAAAAGAACAACAGATGAGTTCGTCCGAAGCCACCGTGTCCTTCGTTTCTAACTTTAATGCGCGGATGGTAATCTGACTTTCTCGTGAGACATTTGTAGAGTACCCTCGTAGGAAATAACAAAGAGGAAAAACGGGAACCAAGGCTAAAAATACGCACTGGTAAAAAAAAACCTCTTGGTTCAAGAGTGCAGTTTCTTGTCGCCGGATTTAAGAGTCTGGACTCTTGTTTCAAGCGGATTTTGAATTGAATCAATGCAAAATTCGCTTGAAACAAAAGTTCAAGACTCTTAGATCCGGCGACAAGAAACTGCACTCTTAAGTCAATGCACCGCGGCATTGGTCCAAGAGGTTTTTTTTACCAGTGCGTAATAAAAACCGAGACGCAGCGGCTCAGAACTAAGCTATTTTCAGTAGAAGAAAAAGGTACCTATATAGTAGGGAGAGTATGGATATTGAGATCCATGAAGGACTCAGGGCCTGAAAATGGCGGCGCTTTGTTTTGTGTTTTGATGATGGGAGGGGGTCCATTGCCGACTTTTGATGGTTACTTTCTCGAAAATAGCACACGATTGGCCATAAAACTATGTAGATACGTCGCGATAATGCATTTGAGTAAAGTTCTCGTCACGATATGGAAATTAAAAGTACATCTTGATCAATTTTTTATTTACATTCACTTGCAGCGTCCGCTATTTTTGGGTCCTAGATGACAGCAATCAGCCTAAGATGACTGAGTCAATTAAATGTGGTAATCTTAGTGTTTATACTCTCCTTATAAAGGTACTCTCGACATTTGTTTTTGACCGTTATGATGAAGGATTTCCTTGCAAGGTGAGCTTGATAAGCTTACTGCTCGAACATCCTTAGTACGACTGGAAGCTAAGTTAGGTTTGGTTGGGTCAAGCAACTAAACTAACTTCGCGGTAATGCGTAGGGTATCGCGTAATGTTGAAGGCGCGATATAAACTTGAATAGTTTCTGCGCATTGTTTTCACGACTCATTGACCACGTGCGCCCGAAATCAGTATCAGCATACAATGAACACTGCTGCTGATTAAAAGATGCTGTATTATCGAATGTACGCGGTCAATAATTTATGCATTCGTAGTTACTTTGGTTTAGTTTTTTTTTTTTTTTTGTCAAATCAACCAAAAACACTTGTTTGGTCGACCGAATTGATTGAATCGACCGAACTCGAAGGTTATACTCTGAATCATCTGGGGAAGTATTATGTACTACTTAACAACTGCCGAATTCAACTATCCGCAGTAAACGGCCCATTTCGAACACTGTGCTTCTTCTCATCACCGCTGTAAAATCTCAAAATTAGATCAATTAACTTCAAGTGGAGAGTGCGAGATTTGATAATTTCCCAGCGAAATCTGACAACATGGCCGAAAGCTCGAGAGCACGAGCCTTGAACAAGCCGAGAGCTGGCTGTCGGTCGAGACGAGCCCGAAGACGGCGAGGAAGACAGGAGTGAAAGGAGACAAAATAAGAAGGAAAAAGTTTACACCAAAGTAAAGATTTTGATCCCCTTAGAGTAAAGAATGCAAACCTCTGCTGACTTTTAATTACCTTTGCTAGCCGTGGATGGGACCCGTAGGCGGGTGGCGGGGGTGGAGCCTGGGATCTTAACGAGGGGTCCGACGAGGGTGTGCAGCTTACCTTGCTTCCCTGGTTACTTATGCTCGCTTCGCGTCCCGTGAAAAATAAATACTCCTCCGAAAGCTCGAGAGGTTTCGGGTGGGAAACCCCGAGGAGCCCTGCAAAACGGATTTTAAATAATATTCGGTCGCGTTGCCAATTATCGGGTCTGGGTCTCCTTCTGGTGAGGTGAAACTGGAAGCCGTGATTCCAGGTCTTTGAGGTGTACCGATAGTAGAAACTTATTTCACAGGTTCTGACGAGTTTGTATTGATGGTAATTTACTCCACGAATTGATGCTGCAATGAGTTGGAATTCTTTTTTTAGCGAATCTGAAGTCACCCGTTTGACCCCACGGAAATTCGAAATATTATGATAGCGCCATGCCTTCTCATAATTCCTCCTCAAGACAAAAACGAAGCCCGCCCTGCAATGGAGTAAGGGTAATATTGCAAAAGATTTTG